GGGTGGGCTCTCTGACGTGCAGCGTCTGGCTGGGTGCCCCACGGGATAAGCCGAGGCTGGGCCCCCACCTGACTCGCCGCCTGGCCTGGGCCAGACTCAGGGAGTTCCTCAAACTGCTGCCCAGGGGCTCAGAGTTGGAGGCCCCGAGGCAGGAGTCCAGCCTGGGCAGACAGGGCCAGGCCGCGAGAAGCCACGTGGGAAGGGGTGGGAATGCACTGCACCAGGGCTCGGCTGCTCCAGCCTCCAGCCTGCAGGGTCCGTTCTGGCAAAGCCTCCTAGTCATCCCCACGCCCACGCGGGTGTGGATAGTGCAGTGAGTGCTGGATCCCAGCGACACAGGAGGCTGAGGCAGGAGGATCGCGAGTTCAAGGCCAGACTCGGCAACTTAGCGAGGCCCTAAGTGTCTCAAAAAGGGTTGGGAGGTGGCTCCGTGGTAAAGCGCCTCTGGGGTCAATCCCAAGTACCAAAACCGAAGGAAGTGCAGAAGCTAAGGGACACGTTGTGCCTCTTTGGTTTGCCGTAAGGGGACGTCACGAGGAGCCATGGGGACAGAGCAGCCCCTGTCCTTTCTCAGGCCTGGAAACCCCGGGGCCGGGTCCTGAAGGCGGCTCCAACCCAGGGGCTCCACGTGGCTTCCCAGTCTCGCGGTCTTTCCAGCGCCCAGCGTGGTGCCCGCCTGCAGTGGACCCTGAGCTGAGAGAAATTCGCGTTCTCCCCCACGAGAGCTTGAGCCCGGAAGGCAGGGCCCCGGGGCTCCCCTCTGGCCCCAGCGTCACGCTGGCCTCACGCTGGTGACGCCGGGAACAGAGGGACGTTCGTCGTGTCTCCCTCCTGGCCCACCCAGCACCCGTCCAAGCCAAGGGTCCCATTTCACAGACCTGGAAACCGAGGCTCAGAGAGGTTAGAAGAGCCGCTCGCCGTCCCCCTGCAAGTCCCCTGGGGGCTCAGGGCGTGTGGGTAGCAGGCGGCGGGGCGGGCACTGCCCCAGGCACCTGGTCGGGGAGACTGATGGGTGGACTGAACGTCTCGAGTTGAAACTCAGCCTCTGTGCAGCGCTCGGCAGCCCCTGCCTCTGCCTGCTCCCAGGACATTTTCATCTCCCCCCAAAGATCCTGCGCCCAACGCTCCCCGTTCCTCCCCCACCCAGCCCCTGGCAGCCACCAGTCTGATCTCTGTCCCAAAGGATTTGATACTATTCTGAGTATTTCTTTTTTTAAATATTTATTTTATTTTTTAGTTTTAGGCGGACACAATATCTTTATTTTTATGTGGTGTTGAGGCTCGAACCCAGTGCCTCGCGCATGCCAGGCGAGTGCGCTACCACTTGAGCCACATCCCCAGCCCTCGGAGTATTTCTTATAAATAGAATCCTACCGTATGTGAGCCCTGGCGACTGTCTTTCACTTAGCATATGCTTGAGGCTCCTCCACGCTGTAGACCGATTCAGTACTTCATTCCTTTTTTTACGGCCAGATAATATTCCCTTGTGAGTGTACGCGGCAATTTGTTCATCTGTTGATGGGTATTTGGATGGTCCCCACCTTTTGGCTATTGTGAAGGGGGCTGTCACAAACATCCGTGTGCAAGTGTGTGTTCAAGTTCATGTTTTCCGTTCTTTGGAGGATGTTCTTGAGAGTAGAAATGCTAAGATAAATGTAAATTGGTTATTCGGGTTGGTTTTATTGATGGCTGTATTCTTTGGCATACAGTAGGCACCCAGTGCAGAGCTGTTGAAGGAACAAATGGACCCCATTGCTTCCCTCTCCTACAGCCCTGTCACCATGACCAAGGTCTCTGTCCCCCGAGGCAGTAGATTGGCTCTTCCCAGAGAGACTGAGGGTGTCCTGTTCAGCCCCCTGGGGCCCGGCCCAGAGGAGGGGCGCAGGGCATCTCTCACCTCCATGTGACTTGAGGCTCCAGGGATAGCCAAGGTCAACGCTGTCTGCACCCCGAAGGTGCAGCCCCCGGCCCTGCTGACCCTCTGCCCTGCTGCCGTCCACCTGGCCCCTCCTCGTGTGGGCCGCTGACCCCTGAACTGGCCTCTCTTTCAGCGCCGTCGGCCGTGGCCATCATGCATCAGGTGAGCCGCACCGTGGACAGCATCACCCTGTCGTGGTCCCAGCCAGACCAGCCCAACGGCGTGATCCTGGACTACGAGCTGCAGTACTATGAGAAGGTATCCGTGCTCGCGCTGTGTCCCCACCTGTCCCCCAGAGGAGAAGAGCAGTGGCCTCAGAGTCAGGCCGCTGGCTCCCCCTCCCCCACCCTCCCCTGCTGTGCAGCCTCTGGCAGGTATCCTCACCTCTCTGTGCCTTGTTTTCCTGGCATGGGGTCCAGCAGCCATCTGGATAAACGCAGCCCTCACACACACGAAGACCCCTCTGTCTTGATCTCAGTGGGCCTGAGATTGAAAAAAAAAGTAGCTTCAGAAAGTTTTGCTTCTTGGTAATGAGCACCCCCACACCTATCTACAGCCCATGCAGGGCCGGGATGGAGCCCCCCTCTGTCCCGCTCGCCCAGAGCCTTGGCTGTGGAGAAGAGCAGCACAGGAGGGAGACTAGGAGCGAGAGCCAGGGTTCAAACCCCCAGCTCTGTCCGTAACCAGCTGTGTGACCTGGGGCAGGTGGGGGTGAGGCGGGCTCTGTGGTAAGAGAGGTCTGTGCTGTGGGCAGGGGAGGCCAGTTGGCGCCCACCGTGGTGCCTGGCCATGGCTGCCCAGGTGCACCCCTTCCCTGCTCTCCCACTCTGCCCGCCGCAGGGTGGTCAAGGGCAGCACCCTGGAAGGCCAGGAGAATCGCGGGGCCTGCATGACTCAGGGTGGGAGGGTAGACACAGCAGCTGACCACCCACAGGATGGACACCAGAGGCCCTGAAGCCCCTCCCCGCTGACCGAAGACTTCCCGTCCCTGCTTCCTACAGGAGCCACAGAGAGAAAAGGTGTCATGGGACTTGCATTCAGACTAGGGTGTAAATGACTGATAGGAAGTCCCAGGAAGGCCCATTGGGAACCAGAACTGCACAGGAAGGTGTCCCTAAAGGCTCAAAGGAAGGGAGGGAGCCCTGCTGGAGCCCTGCTTTCTGCCGCCCTGCCCCTGCAGCCTGTGAACTGCTTTGACAGCCAGAACCTGGTGACCTCAGGGGCTCGGCCCACCCTGATCTGGCCTTACCCAGCTACTGCGCGCTTCCTTGCAGTCCACTGGGTCCCCTCCTCCAGGCGGTGCGCTCCAAGAGGTCTGGGACCTCTGCTCTCCCGGTCACCAGCTTCTCCCAGCCCCGAGGCCTGGCACACAGGAGACACCTGGCCTGGGGCTACGGATCCCAGCGGACCACGCCCCACCCCGCCCCATCCCAGGACCACGCCCACAGCCACGCCCCTCGAGCGGCCACGCCCCACCCCTCCCGCCACTGGCTCCTCCTTTCTGTTCTCAGCTTGAGCGCAACCTCCTGGGCCAGGCCCCATCCTCCCTTCTTCTCGTTCCTCTCCCCTCTTGGTGACAGTGCCATCGAAGTCTCTGCTGCCTCTACTTTGGGTCCAGTCCAGGCTGGAGACCCTGCCGCTCTCTGTGCGGTGGTTCCCCAGAGCCTGGCACACAGGAGGTGCTCAATAGAGATTTGTTGGATGTCTCAGAGGAGCCGTCCCTGAGGGCCTGGACTGGAGGTGACATGGGAGGGTGACTCCACCCTCTCTGGGCCCCGTGGTACCTCCAGGGAGCTGGGCATCCTGGGCAGTGGGCCAGACTCCAGACCCAGGCAACCCAGGCCAGGCACAGCCTTACTGCCCGCTCCAGCAGGGCGGTTTAGCAACCCCGAATTCAAAAAGGAAAAAAGAAAAAAAAAAACCTAATTAAGAAGCTTTGTGATTAAATGAAACTGAAAGTGTGTGTCCCCAAAGACAGGAGCGGAAATGAGGAACCCCGTGTGGGTTCTGCCCGCGGCCCATTTCCTCGGCAGGCAGGCCTGGGGGGCTGAGAGGTGTGAGCTGGGAGGAGTCTGCCCCAGTTTCCAACGCTGCCCGGGATCCCAGCCCTTGCCAGGGGCAGGGCCAGCAGGCTGGGCAGCAGCCGAGGTGACCGCCTGCTCCCGGCTCACGAGCCCTCTCTGGGCCAAGCACATCACTCACTCTCCAGCGGGTACAGGAAGGGAAACCGAGGCACGGGGAGTATGTAACTAGTGCAGGAGCCCCAGGGGCCGGGGCAGAGCCAGGATCTGCGCTGTGCTCCCCCTCCCTGCTTGGCACTCCCGCCTCCCGCTGCTTCCCAGGGTGCTTCTGGGATGACCAGTGAGCAGTAGGCGGGACCAGGCCCTGCCACGGAGAACCTTGGGGACAAGTGGTGTAGAAGGGCAAGACTGAGAGCAAGTGTGGCAGCCCCGCGCCCCCGTGATGACACAGCCCTGCTCTCATCAGCCCATCCCCCGGGCCTGGGGTGCAGAGAGGGGCCACTCGGCCTCTGCTACCAGGAAGGGGGACAACGGCCGCTCACCGTCATCTTCACCAACTTTGGACCAGGTCCACATGGGAGTCAGGAATACGGACAGCAACCAGATGGCCCAGAGGCCTCAGGGACCTAAACACAGACTCAGACACTAACAGCATGAGACAGGTGTGATGCCAGCTACAGAAGGGTCAGCAAATGTCCCGGGGCACCCAGAAGAGGCCCCCAGTCATGGCACGGGTGGGAGAGGCCTGCATTTAGTGACATTTGAGCTGAGCCTTGAAGGATGCAAAGAGCTGACAGGCAAAGAGCTGAGAGAGCGGTCACTGGGGCAGCAGGCAGAACATGCTCAAAGGCCCTGGGGCAGGAATGGGCAGCTGCATTCAGGGAACAGAGAAGGCGAGGCTCAGGGGGTCAGGCGGGAGCAATGGGAGCC